TCTAATCTGGTAGTGTGATAGTTCCATTTCACACACCTTGTACTTAATGGTATTTTTTTATAAATTTAAGAGCACACCGTTCTAAAGCAAGTCTCTCTTTTTCAAATACATTTTGCAATACAGTGTTCTAAAGCACGTTTCTTTCTTTAAAATGCATAATCTTTAATCATATATACAAAATATGATTCGAATTTCAAATCTTTCTTTAATCCTATATACGGAATATGATTAAATATGCCAATGTGAAATTTCGCGAAGAGGATATTTGAAGTGGCAGGATACTTTCATTAAAACTCGAAAGCTTACTTTAATTGTTGGGAAAGACATTTCATGTCATAAGAAAACACACATCTTTTTAATGCATGAAAAATATTTTCTGGTTCTCTGCTCCTTGAATGTCATAATCCTTGTTTTTGCATTTTCGGTACTAAACCTTCACAGTTTCATATGACATTACATTAATACCTAAAGTTTTACACGCGATTTGGTGACATTCTGTAACTGACTTTTTGCAACACAAATGGAAGTAAATGATGATTCTATTCTGTAGTAGTTAAAATAGATGTAGTAGTTAGTTAAGTAAATGATTCTATTTTGGAGTAGTTAAGTAGATGATTCTAATCTGTAGTAGAAATAGTTTCATTTCAGACACCTTGTATTCGATAACATATTTGTTTTATACATTTCACAATACAAAACTCTCACAGTTTCATATGACATAACAGTAGTACCTAAAGTTGTACACATGATTTGGTGACATACTGTAGCTGACTTTTTGTAACACAACTATAGTAGAAATAGTTTCATTTCAGACACCTTGTACTCAATGATAAATGATATTTCTTTTACACATTTCACAACACAGTGTTTTAAAGCAAGTTTCTTTCAAACACCAAAATTGTTTGACAAAATATGATTAAATATGTCAATGTGACATGTTTGCGAAGAAGATTTTTGCAGTGGTAGGATACTTTCATTAAAACACGAAAGCTTGTTTTGATTGTTGGGAAAGACATTTCATGTCGTAAGAAGTCTCACATCTTTGTAATGCATAGAAAATGTTTTTTGGTACACTATTTTCTAGTACTATGCTTCTTGAGTGTAATAGTCCTTATTTTTGAATTTTCGGTACCAAACCTTCACAGTGTCATATGATATAACATTAGTACCTAAAGCTGTACATATGATTTGTTGACATTCTGTAGCTTACTTTTTGCTACATATCTGGAAGTAAGTGGTGGTTCTAATCCGGTAGTGTGATAGTTCTCTTTCTGATACCTTGTACACAATGATATTTTAATACAATTCACAACACACTGTTCTAAAGCAAATCTCTTTCTTTGCCAAAAATTGTTTGAGAAAATATTAGTAATCCTTGTTTTGAGTCCTTGTTTGAGCCATAGCCCTTGTTTTTGAACTTTCAATATCAAACATTCACAGTCTCATATGATGCAACATTAGTACCTAAAGTTGTATGCATGTTTTGTTGACATTCTGTAGCTCCCTTTTTGTAACATATCTGGAAGTAAATGATGGTTCTAATCTGGTAGCATTACAGTTCCATTTCAGACATCTTGTACTTAATGTTAATGGTATTCACTTATAAATTTTACAACACAGTCTTCTAAAGCAAGTTTCTTTCTTTAAAATGCCAAAAATTGTTTGACAAAATATTATTAAATTTGCCAATGTGAAATGTTTGCGAAGAGGATATTTGCAGTGGCAGAATACTTTCCCTAAAACACGAAAGCTTGTTTTGATTGTTGGGATCATGTCATAAGAAGCCTCACATCTTTGTAAATGCATGGGAAATGTTTTCTGGTACACTATCTTCAAACTCGACACTGTGTAGTAAAGAATCATATGCATTTGACTTAACTGGCAATGATTTTTTACACTCATTTTCATTAACATTTTGAACTTCTTCATCATCATCAATCGCTGTCCTGGCTGCTATTGAAAAGTATCTTCATATATGAGTAGGATGTAATATGAGGAGGAGTTATAAAGATGATGCAATCCACTTCTGTGCCTTTTTCATATCAGCCTTATTTCTTTTCTTCTTTTTCATTTCTGTATTCAAATACCTCAAGCGTATAAATGTTCGTGTCTTAACATATATTTTAATGATTTCATTATGCACATCAGGAAACTTTTGTGCAATTTTTTTACACATAGTTTGCATAATGTTATTATTTCTTGAAAGACCATCTTTCCCATGTTCACTTACAAACACTACTTCAAATTGACTTATTTTTTTTAACCATTCCTCAGATGGAACAAGTAAACCACCACGAGAAAGCGTTTCTATCCAACCAACGTGTTCATCTGAAGGCAGATGGAGCAATTGTTCTGTAGGTGTTCCCAAAGAATGGTCATATTTTCTTCCACGGTAGGCTATGTAGCCTGCAAGGTACCGAAAACCCTCTACAGAGCAGTCAGCTGCAGGTTCACTTGCAAGGGTCAATCTAGAATTATCAAAAACAATATCCCTCATCTCAGTTTCACCGTCTAACATCTTCAGAGCTTCAGTCATGTCAGGTAAAATATTACCAAAAAAGTTGGAAGTAATGTATGCATCTTCCTCCTCATCAGGAGCAACAGAAGATGTGTTAGAAAGTGAAATCTGGTAGGAATTATTAGTTAACAATAAAAGACGCATTCGATACTTCACGTCTACGGGCAGTGGATGATCATAGAAATGGCCAAGACCGCGGATTCGGGAAAAAAAATTTTCCAGGCAATCTTGATTTAGTCTGGAAGTTAAAAGGTATTTAACTCCTAATTGTTTCAAATCAGAAAATAACCCCAGCAGTGATGTAATCGACATCATAAATCCTTTCTGAAATGGTAATAGGTGCTTTGCCTTGCCCACTCTCATGTCTTCACAAAAAGCATAAAATTTCTTTAAGGTTCTCTCCTGGATTTCTTCATGTATCCCATACGCACAAGATAACACTGTATCAGAGACAGGTTTCCTGGAGTTAAGAATATCAAATGAATTATTCACTAATTCAAAAAAAAATTGCAGTTTCCTCTTCTTCTGGTATAAGATAGCGGATACCTTGTGCAGTATGGTTTGAAAATAACTGCGCAGCTAAATGCACACGCTGGCGTTCATTACCTTTAACAGAAATGTGACTTACGGACAACTTTGGGCAAATTTTCACTTCTTTGCAATCCATCGATATCAATCTTTCGATAGGTTCTTTTGTAATTAATTTATTTCCCGGAAGCATTAATCCGTCATCCAAAAAGTGATTACGAAGAAGTTTCAAAAGGTGTGGCACATCAGCAAACACCCACACACGTTTACTAGAGTCCTGGGGATGTGAAAAGCTGCTGTTCAAGATGAGTAATCTGAAGTTTTGTCCACACAGCACGATTTCTACCACCCAAGTCAGCTACAGCTGCAACTACATAATATCCAATTTCTGCTAATGTTATTATTATATCTTTCAATATTTCTGCCGTCATTTGCGTATCAAAGTCGAAATATATTGGCTGCTTCCAGCTTGCAAGAAGTCCTCGCACCATTACTACTTGAACATTTCTATGTGGGCCAACAATCTTATCTTCTGCTTGGTCATAACAGATTCTACTATCCACGTTCATTTCATCGAATGAAAGAACACACATACATTCTTGGTCTGTCATCTGTAATGCCCCAGCACGCATAACATGAATTACATCGTGTAGCAAACCAGGAGAACAGCGAAATGAACAAGATACCCATCTCTTCAAAGTCGAAATGCTAGGAAATGGAAATCCCATTTTTTGTCTGAGATAGTTATAGCATCTTTTGGATACTGCCCTAAGTGTTGCAGATTTGCAAATGTCATCTGCATTCCACTTAACATATTTTTTATTTGACATGAGAAAGCGAATTTGATTGTCCGTAAAAATTGTCCCTAAAATTTTTTTTAACTGCACTATGTACTTGTTTGCTTGTTACTTTCCTGCTCATTTTCTGAGAGCTACGTAATTTTCTACGAGAAGCAGCAAGTTCAGTAAAAATAATTTTCTTTTGCATTTTCAATTGACTGCACAACATATTTAATCTCTTATTTTCCTTTTCTAAGATTTGCACACGCTCAACTAAATGAGATGTGTCACTGGATGTAAACTGAGTTGCACAGTCTATCTTATCAGCTTGTAGCTTTTTTTTGGGGGGGGAAGGGAAGCTAAATTTTCCAATGCTCGTTTCCTTGTTCCCCGAGCCTGACATCTGCTTGCTCTATCCCTTTTTAGCATAAATTTAGATGACTCATTCATGTTAGAAAACGTTCTCTCCAGGTTAGGTTCAGTTTTTGAAGCACAACATATATACTTTATTGATGAGTTATTTTCACATGATGATGACGGAAGATGTAAAGTGGGAACAGCATTGGCTTTCAGCACCCTTTTAGGAGTTGAACCAAGCAATTCTGCCTTTAGATCTCGTACGTAGTCATCAGGTGTAAAATGAAGAGCACATATTCTGGCATTTTCGATGTTGAAATTATCTGCTCTTTTGCAGCGATTAGTCCATAACTTACGAAGTTCTGGATCACTTGGAAAACGATGGTATGTGATGCCTTGACTTTTAGTTTTCCTTCTATAATTCTGACACAACGCTATAGCACAACTTGCCATTTCCGACTACTTATAAAAGCAAATTAACAACACAAATCAAATGTATCACAGATCAAATGCAACGAATGTAAACAAACGCCGAGAACTAACGACTGTCACCCACATGACGTCATGCGCAGGTGGCATAATTTTCTCCCTGCACTACGCATCGCTCGTGGGCCCCCCTGGGCTATCACACCTACCCTTTAGAAACCGGATCCTAATGATCCCCAAAATTTGATATGTGACTGTGCCAAGCGCGATAGGTGACGGGACCTAAAGAATAATTGGTACACACTTCTTCACCTCTTTTCACTCTTCAGATGGCATGATATGACCCTTATAATATAACTCCCTTTTTCAATATGTATTTGGAATACTAACGAATTTTTATCTATTTTTATGTATTAATAAAGAATATGTTTTGTGATCTTACAATTTCCGTCTACACCTATTTTTGGATTACAAGTTAATTAGGCATGATCTCGCTTGATGCTGCGCTGGGTACAAGGTAAGAAGAATCATTTTGCTCTCTATTTTTATTAATTTGTTGTGAAACTTCGAGGTTGTAAAAATGTTTTACAACAGTTCCAATATGCTTCAATAATCAGTCTGTTTTTCTACCAATATAAATTTGTACCTTTGGAAGTAGTAAGTATCCTAACATAATGGAATTTCCTAGAATTTCAGTTTGATAATCTTTTTATTTACATTTACACTTCAAACATTTAAGACTTTTTATCAGCTTAACTTTAAGTGTTTATTTGAATCATTTACTGCATAAAAGTATTTGACAGTTGTTCTGAGAAAGTATCTGCCATATTGCTCCTAATAATCCATAAAATATCTTAAAATATCAATAAATAATTTAGTGCAGTATTCAGATTTAGGCTGTGTGATTTACATGGAAAAATGTATAGAAAATACAGTTAATCATGAGAATAAATTATTTTTATTGTCATGATATGCCCATCTTGAAGAATGTTACTTTCAGCTCCGTGGAAATTCTCATCAAATTGTCCTCAACAGGCTTTTTGTTGATAATGACTTTCAGTCTTATCAATGTTCAACTAAATAAAGTTAAATATTCCATTTTCTCTCAAATGAATATTCAATATAACTGTATGGCTCTGCAATGCAATTTTAATGTCTAATCTGTAGACTACATTGCTTTAATTATTATTATATATATGTGTTATTTTTCTATCTTTGAGAAGTCCTTAATTTTGTCTACATCTATTGAATAGTTGAATTATAAAGTAATAAATACACTATCTTGAAAACAGCTCACATATTTTCTCTTCTCAGGGGCCCATTCGTGCCTAAGTGGTAAAGTCACCGAACGCTGATACTTGAAATCCTGGCTGCATGGGTTTTTTTTTGTGGTTTCCTATTTACAACATGGATATGAGCCAATTTTCCCCAGAAAGTCTTCCAGGAAGGCATCCCTCCCCTTAGGCAGGTAGCCCTTGCATGCTTTTCCATAATCAAATAATACCAAAGAAAGGTTCTCTTTAAAGAATATAAATTTCTGTAACATTTTGAATATTTTATATATATGATATATTAAACCAGAGACTGCAAATTTCAGACAGACAACTTCAGCAGTAGCCATATATAGAGGAGAAATGTTTTAAAAAGACAAAGAATTGTCTTTATATAGTAAAACCAGAAATTACTTAAACTTACAATGTAACCGAATAGTAAATGGCAACACATTCAGTGAAATAAACTCTGTATTTTGTATGATTTATTCTGATAAGTTTTCGTGGATTTTTTTTTATTTTATATCTTTATTTTTTGTTCAGCATTACAAGCAGACTATCATTTTTCATCAACTGTAAAAAGCAAGAAAATTTGGTATTTTTCCCATTATGCATTTTAGTTGGGTTTTTTCATAAATAATATCTAGTAATAAATAAGAGTAGTTGATAGATAGCACATGCACACAATATTTTCTGTCATGCAGATACACACAGTATTTTTCCATTATTGCACATACATGCCAAAATGTGTGGCAGATGTTAACGGAAAAGTAACAAATGTTTAAACTCCCTTATGCACATATGAAATTTTTGAAGATAAAGGGTTTATTTTCCAGTAGTGCTCAGGATATTGTTTAGGTCCAAATGCCAACTATTTGGAAGCAAATAAGTTTCACGTAAATTCTACTGAAGGAAGTAATGGTAATTAAAAAAAATATTAATTATATAAAAATTTGTCAGTTTAATTCTTAGCACTGTGTTATGAGTTTCGCATAAAGCTTTGCTATATCAATTTAAACCACAGCTTTCTAAAATTAGAGGTGCTGAAGCCATATGGAAGACTGTCAGGAAAGAGGAACAAAAATAAATAAAATGACCAATAGAATAATTAATAAATTAATTATTAAAATAATTAAATAATTAAAGTTAAAGTAAATAAAGAATTAAAATTAAAAAAAATATAAAAAGATAAATTAAAAGTTTAATAAGCAATTTTGAATACAACTTTATTACAAAAAATAAAAATTTTCAAGGTCAATTTTCTACTGCAACTATTGTTCAGTTACGAAACAGAAGTGCCGAAGTATTCTTATTTAAAGCTCCAGCACAATTTAAGCTCTGATTTAAACAGAAGAAATAAATGCAAAATGGGCAGAAAGGCCAACAAAATTCTGGAGCTGCTGGATGGCGAAACAAAACTAGCACTACCACTAAAAACAGGTACACCTTTGGGGGTCCCATCTATTATGTATTTACTGGTTTATTAAAAATTCAGTGTTTGAGGTAGGTGTGTCTTTGTCTGCTATTTTTTTTTTTTTTTTTTTAACTTTTCTTATGAACAAGACTGAAATTAGATGTCAAACTGATACTTTAGTTCCTTTTTTTTATCACTAAACTGTTTTCTATACAGTTTCACTTACACGTGTAATAAATGTATTTTAGTTCAAAACAAATGTTTTTAAAACATATTTTTATTTTAAACAAATTTTCGTTTACATCAGTTCAACTTTGATTTTATGAACTCTTAAGATATATAATCTAAATGCAAAACTGCCCTATATTTAGTTAATCAGAGTAAGAATAATAAACTGCTTTTCATGAATACTTAATAAATACATAACAGTTAATACTTCTTTTGCCAACTCCGGTGCAGATTCCGAATTATAAGATTGAATATTTATATCAAACAAACTTGCACCTTGCATCATTACTGAATGCTGTAGTTAATGTATACATTTAATTTTCAAGAATGAACTTTGGAATACGTTAAGATATCAAGATTATTTTGCAAGAAGCAACAGGCACATTTTTTACACTTAACCACTAGGATTTTCATAACAAGAAAAGTGAAAACTCAATTCTACTTTTCCCAGATTACATACCACAAATTTTCCAGTTATGGAGAAATGTATTCAATTTGATGAATGATAGTATTTAATCTTTAACTTTCTTATGTATGCAATTAGAAATTATCTAGAACTGTATACAATATGCCTTATAAATGTATTATGTGCTCATCTCCATCATTAAGCATTGAACAGATCTGATATATATGCTATGTTAGTGGGACAGACTTCTCATAGTCACTATGAGATAATGTAAAATATAAAATATCATGATAAGGTTCACTTACTTTTCAAAAATAAAACATCATAACACATAATGAGCTGCTAGCAGACTTACCATTTTATTTACTTCTTACAGAGTCCAGAGATTTATAAATAACCTTAACTTTGTGAGAACACTTAATTTACAATAAATTTATTTAAACAATATGCTATGTTGAAAAATTATACATTAATTCATATATTTTAATATACTATCTTAATATGCCTAATGCTATAAACAAAATCTTGATATATTTGCATAACTAAATTCATTTGACAGATCTGTTATTTTATTACTGTAAGCTTTGCTTGTATGAAATAATACATTATGTTTTTGTGCCACTCCCAGTTGAAGGAATAAGAATGATTTCAATATCACTACTTTAAACTGGGTTACATTTTAACATAACATTCTATGTTTAGTGTAATTTTTGTATACATAGTAAAATCTCTCTGTTCAAAGAAAAACAATGTAAAGTATTATTATTCATACATAGTGGTTAAACAAGCATAATCAACGATAATAATGTTTTACATGCCGTATCGTTAAGAATTTATTTGAAATTTGATGAAAATGGCTGGTCAGTAGTAAAGTAATTACAAAATACCTATATATGATGACAATACAGTATTACACTGAAAAAATATATACTAAAAAGTTAGCAGAAACCAAATTAAAAAAAATAATAAATTTAATAATGCACTACGCTTTGTTCTCATCCACACGCCGTAAAACCTACCAGGTTTGCTTGGCGTCCTTAACAAAGCCTACCAGGTGAAACGCAGGGCGATTACTCGCCAAACCAAATATAACTGCCATTTGAGCAGTGCCATCCAATCAGAGCAAAGCATATAAGGTAAGGTCTGTAGGCTTTGTGAATATGTGTATCACGCTAGAAAATACGACATATCATCACGATAGTTCATCCATCTCTGCGCATGCGCTAGCCACACAATTTCGCCAAGACCTGATAAATCGCCAAATTTAGTTGCGAGTTGCGTTTCCTAGGGAGAAAGTAAAAATACGCGTCCAGGGATTGTACTGCCCAGGACGAGCAGTCCTTGGGAAGGAGCAGTGTTACGGATTTGGTATTTAAATAGCTAATGTTAGTTGAATTTTAAATTAAATGGTTTTATTTCCCGCACAGGGCAGCGCATGACGAATATTAAAGGAAAGCTAAGCTGGAAAATTAAGAATACAAGAGTGCGTGCATTTAACATTTAATAAATATCTCTTTTTGATTTCGAGAAAGTACTAGAAAATTCTAGCACGCGATTTTTAAAATCTTATAAAAGAAGAAAAACCTCGCAGTTCGTAGTAATTACTTAGTTTGTTGTTGTTTAGAAAACTGCTCTTGTTGATTGTAGCAAATTTGCGGATTAGCTTTCTTTAGCTGTTTTGGAATTAAGTTCCATTGAACATTTGAGTAGTTAAAAGATAACTACTGTGAGATATTGTAATAATGCATGAATATTTTAGGAAATTTAAGCACATTTGTTGTGATAATAATAAATTTTTGTTCATTTTTCATCGGACTTGTGCATTCATTTCGTAACGAACCCGTACGCATGCAACAATATTATCGCATATACACACTACAAAAAGGAAATATCGACTAACCACATTTTGAAATTTCTGCGTCTTTAGTCTGTGACACACAAATTTTTTTAAAAGTATCCAAACACTTTCTAAAATTATCTGAACTAGAATATGCATACTACCATCACCACATAAATTTAGAAAATATCATCCGTAGTGCCAGACTGTCAGTGGCATTTCTTCTGAAAATCGCTTTTTATTACACTCCACATACCTTCGATAGTGTTGATATGAGCTCCGGTTTCCGGATCCTTAAATGTCACTATGTGATTTACCGAGAAGTGAATGAAGCCATTATCAGAAAGACAATCATACGACTTCCAGCAGATGGAAAGGATCAATGTTCCAGGTAAAATATTCCGTGGACTTACATATAACAAAATCTCTTTTCTTCCGTTATCAACCACTTAAAAAAAAACACCTTCCACTCTCTTGTTCTATACCACCAAACACCCAGTTTACCACCAGCAGACATTTTACAATGCAAAGCACACAATACACAACATACTTCCTAACTGACATCAAACACAGAAATGAGCCCTTAGAAATATTTTTCCATCAGTCAAATTCAATCATAACATAACCGATCACGTCATAATAGGGTTTCCATTACATTCAACTACTCAGATTACCATAAATAAAACAACGATTTGGAGATAATCCAAGGGGCACCCTAAATTATAGACTATCTCACATATTATACATGCGTGGCATGCGGACATAGTCACACATGCATATTATGCACATAACAGCATGCTATAGCTGCAGTATACTTTTTATTAAAAATCCTTATATTAAATCTAGCGGTTAGTGTAGACTTTAAGATACCCCTTGTATTATGGCGAAGTGGTTGTTTCATTTATGGTAGCCTGAGTAGTTGAATGTTATAAAAACCCTATTGTGATGTAATCGGGTGCATGATTTTGGGAAATTTTGAATCATGGGATATTTTGTAAGCGCTTTTGTGATGTGTGCTGGCTTTATTGTTTAGATGGTAGAATGGCTGAATGTAGTAAGATTAATTTGAAGTTTCTGTAAGATTTGGAACGAAAGGGGAAAAGAGCATTAATTGATTATTGTGTAAATGAAGGTTTACTTAGTAGCCATTATAAGTGTTCTCCTGTAGGTAGGAAAGATATGCGTCTAGTCGAACATAAAAACCGTTTAGATAAATTTGAATGGGCTTGCAGGAAGAAAGATTCGGATGTGGCAATGCCGATATACGGATTCGAGTTGAGATAATTTTAGGAAGTTTTTGAATGCTGTTAAGGAATTTTTTGTGCCCCAGACTAAAGACAAAGGAACTTCTAAATACGTAAGTGGATATTTGCTTTTTTTAGTACTTAAACGTATAACATGTTTTTCCTTTTTTATGTTATTTTATTGTTTGGTTTAAAATGTAGTTTATTGAGATTATGTATGTTTTGTTTGTCTGTATTATAGAATTGAGTGCTACTTTTTAGGAGAAAATATATGGATGTGTCCATGGACAAAGTGAAGGGAGTGCGCAATGTAAGTTTGTGCAATTCTTGGATTTTTTTTTAAGTGAAAATAGATCGATGTGTACATGGATACTGAGTTTGTGCAATTCTATGTCTTGTTATTTTGGCTTTGCGTAGTGGCGATTTTTGGTGCAAAAATCAAAAATCACCGTTATGAAAGTCAAAGAATTGCACAAACTCGGTATCCATGTACTGCCAAAAATCGCCAAGTTTCGCCAAGGAGTACCCTAAAATATACTTTTACCAATCTCGCATACATGAAATTTAAACTCAGTGCATATCCTTACTATACTTTCCTTAAATTGCACCTTACATAATGTAAAACTTATAGAAAATGTACATGTCAACTTCACATAAAGGACAGATATGCACATGAAGACTTGCGATTTTAAAAATTATCGCCAACACCAAAATTACAGAATGTGAAACTTATAGAAAACATACATGTCAATTTCCCATTAAAGACAGATATGTACATGAAGACTTCATAAATTACTGAATAACAGCCTAGAATGGTAAAACCCTAGTATATGGTACGGCCTTGGCACGATTTTAAAAACTGTCGCCAACACCAAAATTATTCATTTACTGATTATCATAATGTTGCCAGATCCCGTGTGTACTTCTAATAGGATTAAACTACCTAGAATATTAGGGCTAAGTGCAGATACCTGGAAGAGCTATTTCAAAGGAAGGCATTATTGTACCATATTATATGTAACTTATGGAATAAATATTAAAAAAGTCAATAACTACAATATTTCATTTATTGGAAATGAACCCTGGTGGCAAACTATAGTGTTCACATCTCCAAACATTATACTACTAAATTACTTTATTAAACATTACACATACTTATAAATGCACCAAAAACAAAAACAAAAAAAATGAATAAATGAAACTTAAAAATGAATTTTATCACCTTGTAAAGTTTCCATATAGCATCATATATTCCAAATGAATGAAAATCATTTAAATATACTGACAGCATGAGAATTCGGTACTATTCGGTTTTGAGGACCGTCAAAAATCGCCAAACTATTGTTGATGCCAGCGCTGCCAAAAATAATTACGGCAACCCTAACACAAAAAAGGAAGTATAATAGTAAATATCTATCTAAGATTGATGATTTAATTTAGATGAAATGTTAATTTCGTATAATACTTTTTTATAATTACAATTTATATAACAAAGGCTAAACATGACTGAATGGAAGCATAAGAGTAAATAACTATTTCAGATCATTTTCGTAATTTATATAAAAACTGCTAAACATAACTGAATGGATGCCTGCATCGCTATTTCACTACCGAGTAAAAAAAAAAATGCATAAGCATAATTTCGCTAAAGCATAATTTCATCTCGTTGGTTGTTCAAACATAATTCTCTATAATGAATGATGCCTTTTCTATGAAAATATTCTCGGTAAAATGCAGAATCGCTCACTTATTTGTTTGCCGCTTTTTACAAGGGTACAAACAATTGCATTTTTGTCAATTTTCTTTTACGTTTTAAGTGAAAATAGGTCGATGTGTACATACATAAAGTCAAGGGTGTGCGCAGTGCTATTTTTGTGGAATTCTGGGATTTTTTTTTTAAGTGAAAATAGATCGATGTGTACATGCATAGAGTATGTGCAATTCTTAAAAATGCGTCAAGCAGTGGGGGATTCTGCACTTTACTCAAAATTCTACAGACTTTTCGTCATGGGCAATTCCCAAATTGTTAAATCCATAGGATATCAAAAAAGGATTTAAAAATTAAACTAATATTTCAATGGCATCTTAAGAAATATAGGTGCTACTTTGGTAGACGGTTGCACGGATTTTTGGCGATTTACGTTGGCGCCATTTCTACAAACGTCAGCCATCTTGAAAAATGCTGTTTTTACGCATAGTAAAGTATTCGAAACTTAAAAAAAAAAAAAATAATAAATATTGTTAGAAATAATGGATTAATTTTTTTGTTGAAAATGTCGTTTTTTAAGATGGCAGGCAAGTGTAAATAAATACATTTACTATGAGTATAAAATACTAAAGTAAGGTTATTATTACTATCATATAGCAAAGAAGACAATAAAAACACCGCTATAAAAACATTGTGCCAACGTTTAATTAGATTAAAATATTACTGAAATTGAATATCGAAATAAAAAACATCATCCAACATTTAAAAGAATTAGAATATTATTAAATTTAAATACTTTAAAATACGTTATATAGAATAAATACATTTACTATGAGTATAAAATACTAAAGAAAGGTTAAATTATTACTTTCATATAGCACAGAAATAGAATAAAAATAACACTATAAAAACATTGCGCCAACATTTAATTGGATTAAAATATTACGTAAATTGAATATCGAATTAGAAACCATCATACCAACGTTTAAAAGAATTAAAATATTGCTTAAATTAAATACTTTAAAATAAGTAAATAAGAACGCTTCGTACACTAGAGCTAAAATGACAGCAATTAGTTTATTGTCGGTAAAAAAGGAGGAATGTCTAATAATTTTCTTACCGTTACAGCGGTTATTTCTTCCAACATGACCACAATATCATATACGGCCGTCTCAGAATCGGCTCTTCTAACGATCTTCATCTGTGATCTACATTTTCGCACTTCATTGAAGGAGCAATTAGCGCGTTTCCTCCAAAAATTTAAAATAAATTTCGGTTGATCTTTACATTACGGTAACTGGTAGTTTGGCGACATTTTGGAGGCGATAAAGGTTACTACCTGGGACTTTGGTAATAATGTGAGCAGTACTGAGTTCCGATTACGCATTATTTTGTGTGGGGGAAATGCGAGATCATGGGATATGTCATGTGATATTAATGGACGAATTACGGTTCTTTAATCGGAAAAGGGGGGAAATCGGGAAAAAATCTGGAAATTTTGTATTTGGCTTTATTCTGTGTTGTGTGAAATAGTGTTTGTGAATTTTTGGATCCCATGGCCGTAAGTAAAAGTGAATTCGAAATGGGTATTTAGTGGTATTGAAAAGGATAGTAAGAAATGTTTTTTAAGGTTGTGTGAGAGAAAAATAAACATGTTTTATGTTATTTATTTTACCTGGTATCTGCTTTTTTGAAAGATAAGTATGATTTTAAAGATTCTGAAAGAGAATGAAGAAAAGTGTATCCGCCACGTAATGAAGATTCTGAAGGAGATTAGGTAAGTTAGTATTTTTAATTATTTTTATGCATTGTTGGAAATGTAAGGTGGAAAGGAATTTGGTATTATTGGGAAAATTGTTATTAGCAATGATTTAGTTTAAAAGTAATTAGGATTGTAAGGTAATTTTTATTAATTGAATGTATGTGCTCATGTATATTTTAAGTGGTGTTTTTGAATTTAATTATATTTTAATGAAATGATAGTTTATTTTGTGAATTTTATACTTGTAGGAATTTGGTGTATGTTTAAGTTGAAATAAATGTGCATGGAAATAATTTAAATATTTGATAATAATATTTGTAATGCTTCATGTATGAATTCGTTGGCGACGTGTATAATGTAATAGATGATTTAGAGGTAAAAGTTTTTGGATATTTTATTTATTTTATATGTGGAAACGTTCATATTTGTTAAAGGGTAAATACTTTTTCGCGATCATGTAATTTCATATGTTCTTTTAAATTTATAAATATTAAAAGCAATTACTTTTAAAGTAAGGTGCTGTCACTGATTACATCATCCACAGCATAAAATTTCATAAAATATGATAAAGAATAAAATTTTTATTTCAAATAAAAATGCAAAATTAAATTTATTTTTAATATTTAGAAGCCATAAATAATATTTAAAACACGGAATTTATGCATAATAACACGCATTATTTTTTAAATAAAATGTCAACAAAGTATCCGTTACCATAAATAACTTATCCAGCAATGGGTTTACCATAAGTCGTATTACTCGCCAAAATCCGTGCAACCGTCTACCAAAGTAGCACCGAAATATAGAACTATATAAACTTACGCAATCTTAAATCAGCGCGTACGCTAGATTTGGCGCGCTGTTAAATGGGCGCATTTGCTAGATTTGGCGCTTTTGCCCATACATTTTCGCTGCAATTTTTTTACAGCCCTCAAAACAGAATAGTACCAAGAATTCTTATCTTGCGGTAATGTATAATCATTTCACAGGAGGAAGGAAGAAAGGACTTATCTTTGGAATATGGTAACAGGTAGTTTGGCGACATTTTGGTAAGGCAATAAAGGTTACTAGCTAGGATTTTAGCAGTGTAAATGGATAAAGTCAAGAGTGTGCGCAATGCCATTTTTGTGCAATTCTGGGATGATTTTTTAAGTGACAATAGGTCGACGTGTACATGGATGATACTGTGTATGTGCAATTCTTAAAAAACGCGACAAGCAGTGGGCGATTCTGCACTTTCTCCCAATTTCGCACCTAATGTTCATCATGATTAAGCACTTTTGCTCCATAAAAATTCTAGCATAAGCGTAATTCGGCTAACAAATTGTTGAGTAAAAAAAAAAAAAGCCTTTACTTTGTGAAAACAAAAACTAGCAGGTTGCTGTAGCAGGGTTGGTCGCCAAAATATCGCCAAGTTACCATAATCCAAAGATTAACCAAAAAATGCTTCCGTGCAAATGACACATTACACATATTTTACAGAGAAAGTACCTATGCCATGTGAATACGTTTATGAAGCAGTAAATCATGCTTTCGTGGGAATGCCTTGTTACACGTATCACATACATGAGGTTTGTCACCTGTATGACTATACCTATGTGCTATTAAAGCACTCTTTTGTCTGTATCCTTTGCCACATATATCACATACATATGGTTTTTCTCCTGTGTGAATACGCATGTGTTCCACTAAATTCTGCTTTCGAGTGAATGAATTGTTACATATATCACATAAATGAGGTTTCTTCCCAGTATGGCTACACATATGTGCCACTAAAACATGCTTTTGTGTATATCCTTTGTTACATATATCACAAACATAAGGTTTCTCCCCTGTATGAATACGCACATGTTCCAGTAACTTCTGCTTTCGTGGGAATGTCTTATTACAGGTATCACATGTATGAGGTTGTCCTCTTGTGTGAATATACCCATGCTCTGCCAAAGCTTGCTTTCCTCTAAATCTCTCATTACATATATCACAAACATAAGGTTTTTCCCCAGTGTGAATACGCACATGTTCCAGTAAAGTATGCTTCCGTGTAAATGACTTGTTACACGTATCACATACATGAGGTTTCATTCCTGTGTGGATATACATATGATGCATTAAAGCTTGTTTTCCTGTGTATCTCTTGTTGCATTTATCACACACGTAAGGTTTTTCTCCAGTGTGAACACGCATATGTGCCACTAAGTTCTGCTTCAACGTGAAAGAATTGTTACATATATCACATATATAAGATTTCTGTCCTATATGGTTATGTTGCGAAGTTGGAAAGAAATTGCATTCGGTTAACTCCTCGGGTAAGAGGCAACTCTGCTGGCGTTCCGTATACATTAGTTCTTTCAGAAGTCAAACGAAAAACTGATTGGCATTTGCAATTATATTTCTGTATTAAATTCTACATTTATCTAACAAATCTACTTCACATACTCAACACTTATGTCAGACGCATAGAATATATCGTGACGTAATTCATTTAATATTCCAGAACACTTCCTCAGATGTATAATCCAGCGGTTAGATTACTTAATAATGAGAATCATAGCTTCTGAACTCGGTAATTCAATTTCAAAACAAACTGAATTAATCAATGTTGCCATTTTGTAACTTGTAACTTTATCAGCATTCGGACTTGGACTAAGGCCAACTAGATCTATCTAATTCAAGGATAGCTAATGCAGTTTTTTCCCGAATATAAGAACTAATTAGAAAATAAGCTTTAGGACGATTTTTCAGGCTACTCCTAATGTAAGCCTTAGTTAAGATCGTCAGCCAGACAGGTGTATGTCTTATGCCTTACCAACAATAAGAGGCAATCGGCCTTTACCAATATATTTCATATTATTATTAATGGCGTAATAATCGCAGTAGTGCAATACTTTGATACAAAGGAACAGGGATTCTACTACTTTTGCGGTACTTCCCTGTAAACCTGAAAGAAGTCCACGATGGGCATGGTGATAAAAGTTCCTGAGTGAATCCCATGGAGGGAACAGGGAGAGGGAGGAAAAAAGATGAAAAATTCCTCACTTTGCCCTTTGAAACTGGCGAGGAAATAGAAAAACGAGCGCCTGGCCCCAGCAACCACCCCAAGCTCTTATTGAAAAAGTTGGAAAAGCATTTTCGCGGCATTTTTGCGCACCAAAAGCTTGAGCCCGAGTCCATTTTAGCGCTAAAACCGACAGAGCGATGGGCGAGGGTAGAATAATTTGCCATATTTGCGAAAAAAATTACAAAAATAGAAAGCAGCTTCAAAAACATATTGTTAATATACATGGGATTAAAAAAAAAAGGTGCGATTCGATGTGCAGTCGATAACTGTTTAGCAGTATTTTTTGTCATTAGGTGAATATCGAAGTCATTTGTCAATAAGCACTTTTTATAGGATATAAAAGTTAAACAAAACAATAATGCATTAGAAAAGCATAACTCCAATCGACAAAATTAAATAAACGATTTTATAAGTACTCTCAAAATATCTTATAACTTTATCTAATTTTTAACCATAAATGAAGAGAAATTATTGCCTAGATATATTATTGCCTCTTTTGAAAGAAAAAAATTAATCTGACTACGAACAATTTTGATTCCGTACAATCTTTATATAACAAACAATTAATAAATGAAGGGAAGGTTATTTAACAAACGGTTCATTTTTATGAAGAAACTAGCAACTTCGCTGCCAGCCTTCGTCTGGCTTTTAAATGTATCGGAAAAATGGCTGAAGGGAACAACCAAACGTTAAATTTAAAAACTGCATAGAATTTTACTCTGCAGAAAAACTTCATAAGAAAAAATGTTATTACGTATGACAAAATTACAATGAAATAAGCAATATCCCTTAATACAAATATTAATTATTCTAATAAATAAATTAACCATCTTCCTTTTGCAAAATCTTAAGAACTAAAAATGGTATAAAGGAGGTTAGAAGAACTTTGTTTCCCTAAAAAAAAAATCACTCAAAACTTTTGAATATCTTAAAAAAACAGTGAAATGAGCAATAAATAACATAAAAGAATACAAAAAAACAAAAAAATTCTGAAAAGCAAAGTATAATTAATGAAATTTTATCTTATATTTTCAAGAGAAAAAATTAGATGGTACTTTGGTAGACGGTTGAACGGATTTTTGGCGATTTACACTGGCGCAATTGTTGGCGCGGTTTTTACAGTCATCAACCATCTTGAAACATGCTGTTTTTACGTATTTTACGCATATAGTACAGTATTAGAAACTTTAAAAAAATAAATATCATTAAAAATGATGGACTAATTTTTTGTTGAAAACGTGGTTTTTTAAGATGGCTGGCAAATGTAAATAAATACATTTACTAAGAGTATAAAATGTTAAAGTAAAGTATTATTACTGTCATACAATAGAATAAAAACACCGCTATAAAAACATTGCGCCAACATTTAATTTTATTAAAATATTACTTAAATTGAATATCGAATTAAAAACACCATACCAACGTTTAAAAGAATCAAAATATAACTTAAATACTTTAAAATAAGTTTTATAGCATTTAATTTTTTAACATTAAAACATATGTGGCAATAAATATATCAAGAATTTTTGAAAACATTATATTAATTTTTTAATAAAAGTTGATGTGTTCAATTATAAAGTAAAAGAAAATTATGTACTTACATTTTTTAAAAGTATTTTACCTGTCATATACTGATAAGTACAAAAAAAAGTCTTCTAACGATCTTCATCTGTGATCCACATCTCCCGCACTTCATTGAAGAAGCAATTAGCGAGGTTTTCTCCAAAAATTTAAAATAAATTTCTTCTGACGCTATTAACAATTTATAAATAAATCTTTGATTAGGAAAGCCAGGTTGGCCAAAATAAGGTCTCAAAGGGCATTTTTTTTATTCCGATACCAATAATTCTTGGTAATTAACAATAACAACATTGATCTTCGAAACGGACATATCCATTCCATTTGAAATCTGAGGGATTCGAAGAGATGAATAATAAAATTTTAAAATGGCGCGGTAATGCACAAATATTCAGTAACCAATCAGGGAGCTGATTACATCACGAATAGAATTAAAATTATTTAAATAATTACTCATAATAAAATCTTTTTTAAAACAAATGCAAAATTAAATTGTATTTTAATATTTAACAGCCATAAGTTTAATAAACAAAAACTTACTCATATTGCTGATACAAAAGTATTGATATGATGTGTTCAGTTCTCTTGTTAATAAAAAACAGCAATTGTGCATGTAATGACAGTAAAAAATAGTGAAAGTTTATATATGTCTGTATTGTTGCTGTTGACTCCAAAGGCGCCATCTGTGAAAAATATGTAATATTTGTGTTCTAAAACCATGACGCTGATGTTTTTATAGTGCCAGCTTGCGACCACTTGTATTGAGTTTTGAGTGTGTTCTGAGACGCCGCCGAGAGATGTGAACTAACTATGCGGCTTTTTGAGCAGGACTTATCGCAGGATTTTTCATTGCTTAATATTGTGTATTTTTAATGAGATGTATTAAGAGTGTATTTTTAATAAGATTTTCTTTCATAAGAATTTTTTGGAGCATGATATGATGCTCATTGGGATTGATTGCATAGTTATGATCTTGCTTTTTTTAAGAGAACTTGAAATATATTTTTTGAATATTCTGTGTAATGGTTTTGCTATAAAACATCTTTAGAATGAATATTTTTTCAATATGCAGACTAAACTTCAGATATACTTTTAATATATTAATGTATTAATAAGATTTATGTATTTCACTTAATGTCCACATGTGTATTTATTATTAAAAGCATCTTAGGATCTCTGATTGAATCTTGAAAAATCTTTATGGGAATAAAGAAAAGAAAGAGTTCATTTTGCTTCAATATCATTGCACCAAAAAACAATTATAAAACAGTATTTTATTATATTAGAATTAATGAATTGATATTAATTTTATTATGAAATACTATATGTGTTGTTTTTTAGTATTCAAGCAGTATAAAATCAGTCTTCATAATTTAAGCAATATAAAATCATCTGAGAGCTTTAACATATTTTTTTCTTTTTATTACAAAATGAAAACATCTCATGTTTAGTTCATTACATATGTTATATTTTCATTGATATTATCATAACCGTATAATTTTTATAAATAATTTTTGTGTCCATTTTATTTCCGTATAAAAGTTCAGATATGTTTCAGTTTAATTTAAATCAGCTCTGCTAAATTTACAATATCACTCAAATCTTATTTTTATTTTCTGTTTAATAAATCGGTATTTAGTATTTAAATATCATTACGATATAACATAGTACGTTATTATTCTTAAAATTCGAAATATTAGTTGTAAAAATTAATTTAACTTGACTTTTGTGTTTGAAAAAAAAACGCTGCGCACTACATAAATGAAACAGTCTGCTGCGTCTACCGTGGGAACGATCGCCTTCGATTGTGACGTCACAAATTGGTGGAGCAGGCCTGTAGATATCTAGTTGGCTTTGGATGGCGCCTTTGGCGTCAACATCCAGCCCGGCCTTGAATGTTACATTCAACAATAAATTTAGAACACAAGTTATAAAATACAAACACAACACTCCAAGATAATAATAATGATGGTTATAACAATTATACAAACTCAAACTTGATAATTAACTACAAATACAATTTAAGTAACTGAAACTTTTTCATTAACAAAAGGAAAAGGTACAATTTTTGTCATTGGCCTTTTATAGATTCCATTTTTATCTTTAAGTGTCACAACTCGAATAATATTATCTTGACCTGGATGGGTTTTAATAATTCGTGCTAAATGCCACTTTAAAGGAGAGTAATTATCCGAATCTTTTACTAAAACTAAATCTCCTTGCTTCATTTCTACTTTTCCTTTATACCATTTAGGTCTATTTAAAAGTTTGTTTAAATATTCAGACGACCATTTTTTCCAAAAATTTTGATTTAATTTTTGAACCATTTGCCATCTAGTTATCCGATTTATAGGAATCTCTGTAAAATTAGGTTCAGACAATGCAATTAAAGATGAACCAATAAGAAAGTGAGCAGGTGTCAATGCCTCTACATCATTTGGATCATTTGATATGGGACACAGAGGGCGAGAATTAAGTACAGATTCAATTTGAACAATCAGAGTAAAAAATTCTTCATAAGTTAGAATTGTTTTTCCCACCACACGTTTTAAGTGATATTTAAGGGATTTCACACTAGCTTCCCATAAACCTCCAAAGTGAGGAGTAGAGGAAGGATTAAAAGGCCAATTTATGCCTTCATTAGCCAAATAACCTTCGATTTCTTCCTCACTTTTATCCCTAAATAATGATTTTAAAATCGCTCTTAATTCTCTATGAACACCCACAAAATTTCTGCCATTATCACTAAAAATATCTGAGGGTTTACCTCGCCTGGCAATAAAGCGTTTAAGTGCTGCTATAAATGCTGCACTTGTTAAACCATTAACAATTTCAAAGTGCAAGGCCTTCGTAGTGAAACATACAAAATACATACAAATACTTTTCTTAACTGTTTACTTCTACCTACAACATTTTTTACCAGAAATGGACTACAGAAATCGAGTCCTGTTTTCGCAAAAACTCTTGATATGGTCACTCTCGCAGCTGGTAAGTCAGCCATCTGTTGCTGCACAGACCTAGAATTTACCTTTTTACAAATCATACAATTAAATATAATTTTTCTAATTAAATTTCTTGCAGAAACAATCCAAAATTTACTCCTTGTAAGTGATAGGGTTGTTTCAGCACCTGCATGAAAATAAAGAACATGAAAATGATTAATCACAATTATAGTAAAATTATGTTTAGTTGGCAGAATCATAGGATGTTTTCTCATTTCACTTAAGTCACTGTTTTTCAGTCTGCCACCCACTCTGAGTACTCCTTCATGATCTAAAAAGGGACACAAATTCAATAGTTTACTTATATAAGGAATAGGAGAACCCTTTTCTAAGCACTGGATTTCTGTCACAAATGAAGTCATTTGAACGTTTTTCACAATACACAATAACGCACTAGAAAGTTCACTGGTTGTCAACGTTCCGCGTGTAGCATGCAATGGATGCCTGGTGTTATGCAAGAATCTCTTGCACCAAGCCACTACTCTTAGCAATTTGTTGTAAGATGACCAATTATTGATGACATCTAATGGCTCATAAGTGTTAATAAGTGCACATATTTCACTTACTGCTGGTGGTTTTAATTCGCGAAGATACAGTTCTTCGGACTCCTCAGGGATATCATCTTGGCACTTAGTCATCACAGGTTGAAGAAGAAATAGGGGATCACTCCACCACAGTTCACACAGTTGAAGTTTGACCGGATCAGCACCTCTTGATATGAGATCCACATGGTTCTGTTTAGATGGGACGTGATGCCACTGTCGCACCTCCGTCATTTCTTGAACCACCGCAACTCGATTAGCAACAAACGTTTTCAATCAACAGGGCTCCTTTTTCAGCCAAGCCAAAACTATCAAAGAGTCACTCCAGAAAAATACATTATTCACATTAAGTTTCAGAGCAGATATTACTCGAGTCATTAACTTCGCAAGCAATACAGCTGCGCATAACTCTAATCTTGGTATAGTAACTTGCTTTATAGGAGAAACTTTTGATTTACTTGTTACCAGCTTTATCACCACTCACCATATTGGGAGATGGATTTACAATAAACTACAGCTCCATAAGCTTAAATCGGAGGCATCACAAAATCCGTGTAACTCAATAACACAATTGCTTCTACGACAAGAATGCGTCTGTTAATTTCTAATTTACATATTTGTGGTAGTTCAGAGAAAACCCGTTGATATTCTTTGGCTTCTTTATCAGGTAGATGATCGTCCCAATTGAGCTTCAAAACCTATAGTCTCTGAAGAAATATTTTAGCTTTAGCTATCACGGGACCCAATAAACCAAGTGGGTCAAAGATTCTCGCTATTGTTGACAAAACCTGCCTTTTAGTAATTTTAGACTCATTTTCTAGTTTCACTTTAAAATTAAAACAATCTTTATCTGCTTTCCAGGAAACACCAAGGGCTGACACTTCATTCGCGCACTGAAATGTGTATTCATCATCTACGTTAACTGCAAGCTCCGTATTGTTGCTACACCATTTGTGTAGAGTCATAGTTGCACTTTTTAAAATCTCAATTAATTCACGCTGTAGCTCTTTTGCCGAACTCAATGAACTGGACCCTGTTAGAACATCCTCCATGTAAAAATCACTCTGTAGAACTGCAGCTGCTAATGGAAAATTTGTGAACTCATCTATAGCAAGCTGACGTAATGTTCTCATGGCTAAAAAAGGTGCACTTACTGTGCCATAGGTGACTGTGTTCAACTCAAAAGTTTTAACTGGACCATTAGTTGACTCTTTCCACAAAATTCTCTGGAGCTGCCTTTGAGTAGGATGAATCGATATCATTCGGTACATCTTTTTGATATCCGCTGTAAAAGCATAAATATGTTTTCGGAAACGTACCATAATTGAAAACAAGTCCTCTTGAATTACACCACCATTATACTGAATTGAATTCAGTGAGTTATCTTTTGACGTTGAAGTTGAAGCATTGAACACTACTCTCAAAGGTGTCGAACTTTTCTCAGGGCGATAAATGCCAAGGTGTGGAATATAATACTTCCCCTCTTGCTCATCTTCATCTTTTACTTCAGTCATGTGACCTAGTTCACTGTATTCATGTAGAAAATCAGAGTACAATAATAAGTAATTTTCATCCTTACTTAAACGAGTCCACAACGAGTTCAACCTCTTAAGCGCGATTTGTTTCGAATTCCCTAAACCATTGGATCTTCCTTAAACGGTATCTTGACTACATATTTTCCGGTTTCAGTCCTAGAATAGTTTTTGAGAAAATGCTGTTCACAAATTCCTGCTTCTTTACTCTTAGAAATCTCAGACTCTCTTTCTACGTTTTCGATTTCCCAAAACTTTCTTACTGCTCTTTCTAACTCAAAATTATCTGTAATAACCCCACAATGTAATTTACTTTCCCCTTTAGCAGGAAGAGTCCCACTTACAACATAGCCGAAAACACTATTTTATAATCTTAAATTTGAATCCTGAAGGGAAATTTGACCTGGTTTTTAAAGCTCATAGAAATGTTCTGCACCTATCAGAAATTCAATTGGGCCTGGCTCAAAAAATTTGTCATCTGCTAAATTGATATTATCTAAAGATGAAACATTAATTTCAAGAGGCCTAGAGGGCGTATATTCTGTTATTTTAGGAACCACCAAAAAATTTAAACTTAAATCGAAACTCTTGTCTCTATTTAAAATAGTTGCACTAACTCTAGATTTTATATTCAAAGACAAATTATTTATTCCTGAAACAGAAATGTTAGTCTTTTCTCCCTTTAATTGAAGCAAATCTGCTAATATTTTGCTGATAAAATTTGAATTAGCGCCGACATCTAACAAACCTCTAACCCTAAAAAAGTTACCCGATGCATCTTTAATTAAACAAACAAAAGTGCTGAGTAAGACAACTTTTAATTCATTCGCGAGATTGCACGTTGTTGATAATAAATTTTGATCAGTACTCGTTTTAGCTTGCAGAGGGTCAAATGATGGCGCCATAGCGTCCAAATTCGAAGAAATATTTTTATTTTCATGACTCACCACCTGCTCAACTATGTTTATTTTTTGTTCGCGAGGGAAATGGAGTGTCACGTTTTGCAAATACCGCAAGAGAATTTATTGCTGCAATTAATCACTTTATGATTTCTTAAACAGTTGAAACACAGCTGTTTCGATTTCACTAGCCCAACTCTATCGCTAACTGTCATGTTTTATAAACAGGGCATTTGGACAAAGGATGAATTTCATTGCATGATAAAATACATTTTGAATTTTTTATATCAGTTAGAAAACCCTTTGACATATTTTTTAGGATAACTGCTTTTATTACTCAACCTAGTATTATCCACTACAGGTTTTCCCTTTGATGTATAATATAAATCTATCTCCTTCGCCAATTCTACAGGTTTAAACCAAGAATTTCCTTGCCTTACATTTATAAAACACATAACCTCTTTATCAAGTGTTTGACATATTTTATCAGAAATCATTAATTGTTTTAATGTTTCAAAGTCATTTACCTTTCTCAGTTTCAAATAATAATCCCAACTCGTGGTTAATCTAGACGCGAACTGCACATAAGTTTCATTCGTCATTCGTTGAGTCTTCCTAAAATTTTCTAAACAAATTTGGGGGGATGGTTCGAACTCTCTCAGTACTATTTCTTTAACCTTAGAATAATCTCCTAATTCGTCGTCTTTAATGTATGTAATAACATTAGTGGCTTTATCTCCCAACAAATTTAGAAGAATTTCCGATTTAAATTTCTCTGGAACACTTTTTGAAATGAACGCCCTTTCTAACGATGAAAAAGAAATAACCCCAGCCTTCCGGTCTAATTGGAATTTTAGTTGTTAATGTGCGTATACTTTTAATAAGAGAGTCAAGAGATTCTACATTTTCTCTTTTCTCATATTCTATGAGGTTTTTACTCTTTGATTCTACTTGCAACTTCGCGAGTTCTAGTTCCGATTTCGCTCGTTCCGTTTTCAATTTCTCAAGTTCGAGCAAACGGCTCTCGTCACTTTTCCTTTCATCGATAATATTATTAGCTATACCTTCAACTAATATAGGATCCTTCTTATAGCTTTCACTGTTTTTTATTACATCAGTTAAATCTGATATAGTTTTCGCTTCTGAAATGTCTAAATTCAGCTCTACAGCAATACGTCGATAATCTTCTTTTTTTGCACTTTTAAACATTTTGAATCTACTTTTTCAATTACACAGTTATTACAATTAAGGCCACGTACCTTCTATTTAAGAGTAATCCACAAGTTTTCTTCCATAACACTTATCTAAGTAGTAATAATGCATGATTATAAAATAAATATTAGAATCTACTGAAGTAATAATTACATATGTTAGAACACAAGAAAAGAATCTAAATTTTTATTTATTTTAGTGATCTGTATTTTATTTTTTTAATTATGTTCACAGAGTTCTTATTTTAAGTTTCCACCAAACAGCAGAGATGCGATGTCCTAAATTTTGTACTGAACAACGGCTGTGTGAACAACACAAAATTATGTTCAAAGAAAATAAAATTCATAAATTCTGCATTGCCTACGACTTGCTAGTTAAAAAAAATCATGTTTTCCATTTCTCCACATCGAAAAAATTATAGCTGGGGGGGGATGGAAACACCACTTCATTTGGACATTTGATGTTTTATATCCAATAAAAATCCCATGGTTTTAACCATTGAGTCCTAATTTTAATCCCTCTTCATTGTTAGCTTTTAAGGATAATTTGCTTCTTATTTGCATTTTTGGTCTCTCTTCTGTCAATAGTGGTACTTAAGGATTTGGTTTTCATCATTTAACCATACTTCTCCAGTTTCTTCTGTTGCTTCTCTTTCCTTACACCCAGTGTGCGTGCCATGCTGAATGCCTTATTTCAGATTCAAAATGTATAGACAGAGAACAGTACCAGGACGACAAAAGTGGTAATTTAACAACATAAATAACGTTGGCATCAATTATCCTCTCCCTAAGACAACCACTTCCATAGAAAAAATTTTATAGCAGCTGTGCCTGGCTGTCTTACAGACGGTTCACTGTATTTTATGATTTAAAATTAATTAGCTCGTTATAATACTGTGGAGAACTCTTTATTATTATTATTTGTCCGCTGCCCCGAGAGAGGGCGCTACCAGCTTTCTCCCTCTTGCTCTCTGAAGGAAAATTCGAACTGGTTACTCGGTTCCTGGCTGCCGTCGGTGAAGCACGCACTCACCTCTCTTTCCCTCCGTGATGTTATCGTAGCTGTAATATGACTTTCTTGATTTTTATTCATGCGGACTTGCGAACTGAAAAATGCTCATCTTGTAACTACATGCAATGTGATTGTATATAAGTGAATATATGTTAAAATATATATCATCCTAGAATTAAATATAAATGTTAATATTACCGAGTCCGATTTTGTTAACATTCAACGTGCAATCAAAAATGGCATCCATTAACAACAGCCATAAATGGTGACTCGTCAAGTTAGTGAACACGTGCCTCCTGTAACCTGCTTGCATCCTCAAGTTCTGTGATTATAATGTGCTATGAAGTGAAAATTATTTCTGTTCATGCAAACTACTAGCGTAATCCATCATTATTTTCGTGTCATCAGCAATATAGTGTGAAAAACAGTTGTGCCTGCTTAACAACGTGCTTGTGAATTATCATGTGTCTCATGCAAATCGTCAAAGTGCTTTGAAGTGATCTCCATATAAATCGTACAACGTGGTTACATATCATAAAATAAGTTTTTTCGGAATATTTTTTCTATAAGTGAATTGTGT